GGCTGCGTCAGTGAGGGGAGAACTGACGTAGCCCCCCCCCCCAGACCGGCAGGGCCAGCCAAGGTGACTCAGGCCACCAGCCTGGGGGATGGACTGGCCCGAGGGGATAGGTACTGGGCCTGGGGCCAGACTGAGAGCAACAATAGGGATCTCGCAATGGCAGCCCCTTCCACCTACTGGGAACCAGGGATGCCACCCCAGACCCTCTTCTTCAACCCAGGATCCGGGACTCCCAGCCCCCTCTTCCCTCAGACCCAGATGGCAGGTGTCCAGGCCCTACACCCTGGTTCCCAGGTGGAGAGAAAGGTGTTGCCATTCTGCTGTTTGGAGAATGCTCTATGGGAAAAGTCAGGAGTCTGGGGCTGGGTCAGTGTACCTGGCTTGTGCCAGTCCCCCCCACCACCTTGCCTTGGCCTGCTCCCTGAGGCTGCGGGATCATCTTTCCCCTAATTCCATCTTTCCTGGCTGCAGGAGGCTGAGGGAGATGGGGTGGGTGACGGCAAGAAGTCAGGGGATTGCTCAGCATCCTGGGTCTTCCCCATGAAGGGGGGGCATTCAAGTTCCTTCCATTGCAAGGAAAGCAAGAAGGGATGGGGTACCCACACTCCCATACTGACAGGCAGGACTGGGGAATCACAAAAAAGTGACAAGATGACACCAACACACAGACACAGAGACTGGAGCCCAGACATCCAGAGTGAGAAAAAGACGAAGTCATAAAACAATGGGGTCTACAGACAAAAGAAGTTCTAAAGAAACAAGCTCAGAGGCTCGGAGACAAGGACCAGGGGAGCCCACAGCCCAAGGCTCTGAGGGGGGCTCACAAACATGGGAGAAGATGCCACTGGAATGCGAGCCAGGAGCCAGGGGTCCTTGCTCATGTGCTGGCCCCTGGGCGAGGTAGGGCTGACTGGTGTGAGGTCAGCAGGTCGGAGGCTGTGTGTGTCCGTCTGTCTGTCCCTGGGGGGTCCTGTCTGGCCTCTGGGGGGTGACGGGGCAGGCGGGCCGCAGAAGCAGCCCAAACCTGTCATTAGCGGTGAGGGCCGTGACGGCGGGGGCCCCCCCAGTCCCAAGCCGCGGTCCAGGGCCGGCAGCCCCGCCCCCCACCCCCTCCTTGATCCCTGAGGAATCCCGGGAATTGCGAAGTGGGTCCAGATGATGTTGACACAGGAAATGGTCATCAGCTGCTGGCCTCAGCCCCACAACCCCTATGAACCCCCCACCCCCGGCCCCCTGCTGAGCCCCCTCTAACCTGTGTCATCTCTGACGGAGGCAGCCCAGGGCCACTCAGCTCCCACCAGGATGTTTACAAGAGATGCACAGGGCAGGAGTCAGCCTCACAGGGCTTCCTGAAAAATGGGGTCTGGACTCCTGGACAACTGCCCTCAGACCCAGTCCCTGGCCTCCTTCGCCATCAGACCCAGGAGTCCAGGCCCCCAGCCCCTCCTCCCTCAGACCCAGGAGTCCAGGCCCACAGCCCCTCCTCCCTCAGACCCAGGAGTCCGGACCCCAGCCCCTCCTCCCTCAGGCCCAGGAGTC